TGTGTGTGTGTGCTAATGAATCATACATTTTTCTCAATACGAAATAATAAGATTGAAATTATCTTAAATGATAATCATTATTTTGATTACTACTTCCTACGTTAATAAAAAACTTGAAACTTCTTGTACTTTATTGAAGCATGTTCAAACTCACCCCATGAACGTTTTAAATCAATACAAAAATAATACACTTCATTTTTATTGGTAGCAAACATAATGACCTCTCTCATAAATCTTCTCACTGCGTGGTGATTATAATAAAGAGGTGATAACACCCTCTGGCTCTGCATTGTTCCCGTGTATTAAAACCTCTCTGTCTTGTTGAATCAGGCGATGCCCTCAACTTCATCCTGACAAACACTTTCTCGGAGGCGGCCGGCGCCAGGCTGAATTTTCCCAAAGTGCTGGTCATCATCACAGATGGCAAATCTGAGGATGCAGTGGAGAGTTACGCCAAGCAGCTCAGGAGCAGTGGGGTGGAGATCTTTGTCCTCGGTATGGAGCCAGAACGAGTTTATTGCATTCCACATCTTATATTTTCCATCTTTATTTAATGCTTTTAACTGTTGTTAGTAACAAAAACAACCTGTGATGACATAATAATGGAACAAGGTTAAATTCCTGCATCATTAACGTTACAAGCGAGTGATAGCAGGTTTTATGTATGTTTATGCTCAAGGTTCAGTGTCAGACTTTCCATGAACTGAGGATGGAGAAGCAGGAGTGGGCTGTTGCTATGGTGTTAAACTAATAACAGCTCATCTGTACAGTCGCTGAAAATGGGTCACTGATTGAAAATAGCTTTTCGAGACATTAAATATGTTCCTAGGTTTTGCAGGAGAAGCCGAAGAAGCACTGGTAATTTCCACTTAAAGAAAAAAAAAACAAAACACAACCTCCGATCATTTCCTGGAGCTGATCCAGACTTTAAAAGGTTTTTAATGGGACGAGTGTGATGGTGTTTACACAAAACACACTGTCAAAGAAAACTTAAATCCTTAAAGTCCTGAAGGAAATATTCAGATCCTCTGTTTCAGTAAAAGTATCCACATCACACTGGAAAACGTTTCACTTATATGTAAAATCTTACATTCAATTTCCACTCAGATTTATTTATATGGCACGCTCATTTCTGAGATCTCGACCTCGCCATGTAAAGTTCCTTGAGATAATACGTCATGAACAATATGATCTGATGTCAAACCTTTATGTGTCAGATAAATGAGACTAAAGTGCTGGATTTGCCTCTCGCATGCAGGAGCGGAAAAGAAGAAAGCTTAAAAAATGGAACCACTCGAGTAAAGTACCAAGTTAGAGAGTTCACAGCTGAACTTTGAATAAACTTTATTTTGTGTGTCACCCCCAGTCCTGAAACAGAGTTTCTCCACTTGAGTATTTACTGCTCACGTTGTCACACTTTCCACCCTGAGTCGAGGTGATTTTGTTGATTGGGGATGAATCCAGCTCCAGAACTCTGAATCCGCTAATGTGGAAAACCAATGTTGCACTTCACGTTTTTTATAGACCAATTATTTCTTCCAGTATTTACGGAGCTGGAGCAAATACTGATTACAAAGTAATCCTCACTGACTTTACAAGCATGGCGATGAATTCAGTGTTGTCGCCTCAGAGCTCAAAATGTGAAAACAATGACAATCACAACAGCACATAAAGAACATTTCCCCCATTTTCACGAGCTATCATAAAGTGTGATGTTGTGTTCCTCTCGGTCTGCGTTAGGCATTGGGCAGGCCGATGAAGCTGAGATGAAGCTGATGGCCTCCACGCCTCACAGAAGTCACGTCTACAATGTCGCCAACTTCGATGTGATCAAGAATGTGCAGAAAAAGCTCATTATGCAGATCTGCGCCGCGGTCGACGAGCAACTCAGCTCACTGGTCAGCGGAGAAGAAGGTGAGATGTGGTGGTCAAATACTTCTGTACCATGTCTCTGTCTTAAAAACAGACAGAGTGGACATCCTATAATTCTGATGTTATTTTGCAGTGGTTGAGCCGGCCTCTAACCTCCAAGTCCTGGAGGTGGCCTCGAAGTCCGTACGTGTGACCTGGGACGCCTCCATCGGGGATGTTTCAGGATACAAGGTGCAGATGATCCCCATGATGACTGGCAGAAAGAGGCAGGAGCTGTACGTGGGCCCATCCCAGGCGTCGGTGGTGGTCAGAGACCTTTCTCCAGAAACAGAGTACCAGATCAGCCTGTTCGCTCTGAAGGGACTGACGCCCAGTGAACCTGTCGTCCTCATGCAGAAGACAGAGCCAATTAAACTGTCAGTGGGTGAGTGGTTTTACAATTTTCCATCAGGTCAACTCCCAACATGAAGACTCACGAATACATAGATTAACTACTGGTCAACTGGGCAAAAGCACAAGAGGTCAGGGGGCCCTGAACTAAAGTCTTAGTACAAAGCAACTTTTACTTTTCTTTGTTGAAAAGTCATTGAGCTTAGTTCCATGAAAACCTGAACTTTTTCCAAACTTTACCCAGAGGAGCTATAAGTACATTCAAATGTCCAAATTAATTGAAGCGACATCTCTTGCCAGCTCCCCAGTATAACAGCTGCGTAATGTCCAGTTGCATCCATGTGTGAAAAGAGCCGATTGTTGTCCAGAGAATTCACAGCGAGTGGGCGTGTTGTTGATGTCTCTATAATTCCTCCCTCATGTTCTACCCGGGCGCCACCGCTCGTCTTATCTAAGCTGAGTATTTCAAGTGGGTGTGAAAGCGTCTCACGTGGACAATGTCTGCTTGTGTGCTGCATGTGTGAAAAGGCAACTGTCCAAAGACTCTTTGTAAACATGGAGATCTTTCCCACACGTCTGTAATTCGCCAATAAACAAGTCCCGCACAGAATGAAAAGAACGAGTGATCAAAGTATTTTCACTGAAGCATAAAGTACTTTTTACTTTTCCTTGGTAGAATGTTCTCTGGGTATGGATGTTCAAGCCGACGTCGTCCTCCTGGTTGACGGCTCCTACAGCATCGGTCTGGCCAACTTTGCTAAAGTGAGAGCTTTCCTCGAGGTGCTGGTGAACACCTTCGACATCGGGCCCAATAAGGTTCAGATCAGCTTGGTCCAGTACAGCAGGGACCCTCACACCGAGTTCCACCTGAACACTCACCACGACCTGGCGGCTGTGGTCAAGGCAGTGAGGACCTTCCCTTACAGAGGCGGCTCCACCAACACCGGCAGGGCCATGACCTACGTGAGGGAGAAGATCTTCCTGACCAACAGGGGGGCGCGTTCCAACGTTCCTCGCGTCACCATCCTCATCACTGACGGGAAGTCGTCCGACGCCTTCCGGGAGCCGGCCACGAACCTGAGGAATTCTGACGTGGAGATCTTCGCAGTGGGCGTTAAGGATGCGGTACGAAGTGAGCTGGAGGCCATCGCCAATACGCCTGCGGAGACCCACGTGTACACTGTGGAGGACTTTGATGCCTTCCAGAGAATTTCCAAAGAGCTGACGCAGTCCATCTGCCTGAGGATCGAGCAAGAACTCCGCACTATCTTACAGAGACGTAAGTAAGATGGCTTTACTCCTCTATGCTGATGACAGCGAACTGTTGGTTGAACAAAGTTCTGTTCATTTCAACATTTATTCTGATGGTAACTAAAATATGAGTTGTGGTTCTTTTTCCTCTTTCTGAAGTTGGATCTTAGCTTCAGCAGCAGAGGTGGGATTTATCCGTCACTTTCAGTCAGGTCTGTTTCTAGATGTGTAGAAGCTGTCGTTCCTCTGCTGCCACCTCTGCTGTTGTATTTGGCTGAGAGAGGTGGGCTGGTGATCATCAGGTTGTTGGTTCAACCCATGAATATAGATGTGTGTTATGAAGTCGCTTCTGATTCTCAAAAGTTGACTCTTGGATTTTCAGGATCCGTTGCTGGTTTGACTCACACACTGTGTGCTTGTATTGAAGATGTGGATCTTAGTTTCATCTAGAAGTGGCTCACTGTACATCACGTACTTCATGTTTCAAGAGTCAGTGAAGTGCAGAAGATTCACTTACGTACTTTGGATGAATCTGGAGAATGATGACAGCCTGGAGACATAAAGAATGCTGCATTTACAACCATTGCTTTCGCTTGTTTCTTCATTTCTTCATTGTTTTTGAAATGTACCAACAGTGGAGCAATGGACAATCAGCGGATTTCTTTTAGGTTGTTGATTGTTAATTCTTTATTCATTTCAAAAAACTTAGAAATACGTTCTTAGTTGTTTCATTTGTCTCCAGTCTGCTCAACATGATGTCATCAAACAATCAAGAGGCTCCACGGGTTCAGCAGATTAAATGGAAAACATACGTGTTTTAATGTGAGCTTGTAAAACTACCTGTCTAGTTTATGATGAGGAACATTTGTTGTGTTCAAAACAACATTTTATCAATTAATTACAGCAGCGCTCAGATGTAACTCTACCTCCCTTCACTGAGGAGCACAATGCAGACGAGTACAAACATGTCACACAAGATGTCTTCTCGGCCGAACCCTCCTCTACCTCAATGTGTTCAACACATGTCCACCTTTTGATACTTCAAGGGCAGGGAGAGTTCCTGCAAGTGGAAACATCGGAACTGGGTCAGATGGAGGGGTGCAGTTTGCATTTGTTTAAACCTGGTCTGAGCACCAGATGACTCAGTTATTACCACACCAGGACAATCAGGGGCTGTCGGGAGTGTCGTCCGTCACCTTTCTGTGGACGAATCTCGACACTGAAAAGCATTCTTTGTGTCTTAATTATTAGCCACCCCAGAACATCTGCTAGTCAAGTTAGAACAAGCAAGAAAAGTTACTCACAAAAGCTTAAGTTCAATCTCTGTCTCTTACTTTGCCAAATGGAACCTCCAGCTCTGCCAGCGTGGAATGTGACTCACACCGGCTTTGATTGCTGATTATATAATCCTTATATAATAATGACTTATGTCAACACAGAGAAGTGTACAGGAGCCTGAACGAGCTGCTCAGTCACAACTCGAGCTGCCGCAGAGGGCGTTTCTCAGCAGCTGCCCTCCTGATGGGTTTTAAATGATAGAGCCAGGGCCGTCGCTCCCACCACGCTCATCACACGCTGCGTTAGGGCACCAGGTGCCGGAGGGGGCACCACAACCGGTTTACTCACTTGTTACTGTCCATTTCTAAAAGACTGAGTCCAATTCATCATTATATGACAGTTCGGAGTTTAACTTCACCTTCTGATCTGCATTCACCTGCCGTTACTCTTCACTGTCTGACCAGAGAGAGACTGAGGAGAACAACATTCAGGACTCTTTGCAATAGTTAGTTCATCACATGAAAACTAAACTGAAAGATAAGTTGTAGTCTTCAGAGAATGAAGTGATCATGTTGGTCCGGGGCCTGAAGAACACTGAGGGACCAGAGTTAAAATCAAAGTGTGGAGGCTTTTTAGTGGGTTTGAACTAGATGTGTGAATTTGCTTTTGGACCAAAGAGAAAGATTCTTGTTGTTGAATATTCGCTCTGAAGTGACGTTAGCTTTGATTCCTGCTTGAGCTTGTGAAACATCCCTGGTGCTGAAAGTCACACAGGGATCTTTGATGCTTCAACATCAAGAGCTAAGTTACAGACGTTAATTAAGCATCTCCAGAAATTAAGCTGAGGTTTTTCAGAGTCAAATAAACTCAATTAAATTAAAAGAGCCAACTGTAGTCAACGGTTTCCTTCTGTGTCTGTGCGAGATTAGAAACAAACTGAAGGTGACGGATAAGAAGAACTCAGGATCGTATACGTTTGAAAATGAATCTTAACTTTGTTTCCTGCCACTTTCTTCAGAACTGGTTCAACCAAGGGCCCTGTCCTTCTCTGAGGTCGGCCCCAGGAGCTTCAGGGCCTCGTGGGAGATCGACGCCAACGACGTTGAGTCTTATTTGGTTCAGTTCAAACCGGCAGATGTTGCCAACGGGCATTATGTCTCCATGTCTGTGCCCGGGGACACACTCACCACCCTCCTCCCCCACCTTAACCCGCTCACCCGCTACGAAGTCAACGTTAACGCTCATTACACCAAAGGGGAGAGCTTACCTGTGAAAGGCTATGAAACCACTTTAGAAGGTATTTATCCACACCCTCGACATTTATCTTTTAAAGCTCTTAAGTAGAAGCAGAACAAACTTAACTCTTTCACCTGTTGCAGAAAAAGGCCCCGTGCGCGACCTGAGAGTTTCTGAGGAGACAACAAACAGCTTCAGAGTGTCATGGCTTCCAGCTCCAGGAGCCGTCACTCGTTACCGCGTGACCTACGAACCCGTTGGGGACGAGCGCTCAAGGCTTGAGGTGATAACCGACGGCCCAGAGACAACGACTGTCCTCCAGCAGCTTCAGTCCCAAACAACTTACCGCGTCACCGTCACCCCTGAATACCAGTCCGGCCCCGGAGTGCCCCTGCAAACCGACGGCACCACCAAAGAAGGTGAGTGTGGCTTTCCATCTATTTCTAATTGGGTTATGGTTGTGCAGAATGTTCCAGGACGCTTCACTAAATATTGAAGTTAAGCCTTGAATCACTATGGCAGATATAGATGTAGTGCCACAAGAGTTAAAGGGTTAAAAGATAATGATCAACAGATGCTCTAATAAATAAAGTGTGAGAATTGTTGTTTCGAGTCGGACTTTGGATCAGAAGTTGATTTCTGAAGTCCAGAAGATGATTAGCAAGTTAAAGGAGACACGTTCACAAGCAGGTTGATCATTTTAATTAGTGTTATTGTTAAATGTCTGCCTCCACTTCTGCTTGAGGGGACGTTCCAGATGGTGCGGATGTGTGGTCCTAACTACTGACGAGGTGTTCCAACAAAAAAACTAATCAAATTCGTTTTTTTAAATCAAGATGATGTGGTGATTCAAACATTCTTGGTCCGAGCTGTGTTTGCGTCTTTTTGCGTCATTCAAAAACCCACAATGGAAATGAGTTCAGACTTTATTTTGATGTCCTCGGGGATTCTCAGCCTTCATCTGTCTTTTGACATTTGCTCGTATTCCCAAACTTTGCCAGCGGGTGCTAGGAGTCCACACATGTTCGACCCCAGTGGAAAGCAAACTCCTAACCCTGCAGTGTTCGTACAACCTGCCACCCATCGAGCTCCTCGTCTGATCCGCCCTGCCTTACAGGGGAAGGAATGAACAAACAGATTGAAGCTCAGAACGTTGGGAAGTGGAATTAGGCCAAGATGAAGTCAAAGGTGATAAACGATGAAGAAGAAAAGCTGAGGAGATTTTTTTATTCCTCAGTCAACAATCCTATGTCGACCCAGTGACGTTATCGATGGTAAATTTTTGAAGAGGAGTTATCTCATGGAGACTTTTCCAGCTTTAGCACTTCAGGGGGAGATTACGTATCATCTGTAGACACTAAATGCGGCGGACGCAGCTGGAAATGAAGAAATATATTCCTCTCTACCATGGCAACACTCTGTCTCTCCGTGTCGGACCCTGGCGCTTGCAACCCCCTCAGACCGAGCAGCTGTTCATCGTCCGATACTATTCTTTAAATCTCATTTCTTGTATTTATGACAGTTTATAAAATGGAGCGGAATGAGTCCCAGCCTTGTGCCTCTCTGTCATAAAACACCCAGTTGGATTTTCTCCCCCCTGTGTGGCTTACAGCATTTTTCCCATTACAATGTTTACTGTGCCATGACTTTATCGCTCAAATATGAATCGATGCAGCGCCTTGAGGTTTTTCATGAATTACCCTTTTGCTGTCTTTTCCACAAAGTTGGGATAAAAGCACATAATGCATGGTTACACAAGAATCACTTTACTCTTTATTCCATTTTTTGCTGACCACTCTTAGGAAAAGAAAATGTGCATTTGATTAAAGACCACGACAGTTTCATCACTCAGGTTTGGATCCAGGCGGCTGTCACCAGATCAAACCTACTGTAGGAAAAAAAAACACACCATGCAGGCACATTTCTCGTTTTCATTTACACAGAGGCGTTAACACCGATGACTCATTGCTTTATTTTACCAATTATTTTTCAAAGCGGGAATTGTGCGAACTTGCCCCACTTTGCTTTCACACTCTCTTACACTTCTTCACATCCACATCGCTCTGCAGGAGCACACTGGGAGCTTCGCGTCTCGGGTCAAAGACGGTTGGATGGTTTTTAGGCCACAAGCCAAGTGGAGGAAACCTCAAGGCCACAAATACTTACACTATCACATTGAAGGTTGTGGGTTCTCCCCTGCCCCCACGCCCCCAGACTCAAGGGGTCACTTGCTCTGTGTTGTGTCAAGGACAAGTTGTCTGTCTCTGTCCTCTACCAGCTGAGCCTGGATATGTCTCCTTTAACCTTCTCTCTGTCCCCATACTTACTCTGTTTCTGGACAAAAACTTGTCAAAAGACCACAGCTTTGGAAATGTCCTCTTACAGTGGTGGTGCTGTGGAGTTTGTGTCATCGTTGTTTAAGCCGTGTGCAGCAACAGAGACAGTGGACACGGCAGCTCGCAGGCTGAGAGGGGAAGATGAGAAACAGCAAGACCGGACAGGAATGTCTCCGAGCTAAGAGCAGAGCTGGAAGGTTAGGAGGAGCAGGGAAGACTGACTCATTCCTGTCTCTGTTTCTGTCCTCTCTGTTTATGTCTCTGTCTCCATGTGTCTTTGTTTCGCTCTGCATCCCTGTCTCACCTTCGGTCTTTCCGCTGTCACCTCCCATTTCTCTTCAATTATGTTTTGCTATGTCTCTTCATATTAGCTTCTCGCTGTGTCTCTCGTTTCCATTTTCCCCTTTACGTCTCCCTCGTTCCGTCTTTCTTTGTTTCCTCGTGTTAGTTTCTTTCCACCTTGTGAGGGCTTGCCTGGAATTTAATAGTGTTGTCTGCAGCCTCTGTGTTTCGGCCTGCAGCAGCCTCTGTGGTAGCAGGGCCGTGGAACCAACACACTCCTTTCTTTCCGACGCTTCAGGGGCCCGCACTGGCACAGCAGGAGTCGTGTTGCGTTCACGGTCTGGTTCAGTGTGAGGAGACTTGAAGTGCGAGGCCTCCAGACATCCCTGGTGTTGGCCCGCTCCAGAGGCAGCTGGAAGGAGGATCCTCATTCCCTTTGTCTCAGTTGAACCTGTTCAGATCTGCAGACTCTGCTGCGCTGCCGTTCCCACGTTAAATCCAGTGATCTCACGCTTTCTTATTGTAAAAACTTATTTTACTGTACACACTCACGTTAAGCTTCACCAGAATCTCCTTTGTGCACAAGACAATTTCTGTTTACCACCAAATGCATGGGAGCCGAACCGGAAAATACTCCTTCATGCCTGATCAGCAGGTTACAGTGTTTTCTGTGAAATACCAGCTTGTTTCCTAAACTACTGTATAAACGCTGCTTTGTTTTCATTCTGTCTGACGTTTTTGGGACAACAATGGGACCACAGATCCATGGATACGCTCGAGTGTGGTTCGTCTCTCTCAGTTGTTTGGGTGTAAACTTGTCCACAGTCGATGTTTAAAGAAGCTGCAGCTGCTTGTGGCTTTTTTCTAGTCCTTCACTTTGAACGCTCGTTTGGAAGAACCCCAAAAAATTGACATGAACCAGGACTTCCTGATCGTAGGTCCAGCGTAGCGTGGCGCTGCCGTGGGATGGAAAACCTTACAACACAGTGGAGAGAAGGGAACATCGTCAGATTGATTACTGATAATTAATTCTGAATGACTTCCACAGAACTCTGAAACCAAACTCTGCTAACGAGTGTCAGATAAAAGAGATTTGATTGATGTGGTTGCATTTTTGCTTCCTGTTTGAGCTTGTGTCCATTAAACCCAAATTTATATCATCAGGCGAAGCTGAAAATACCGTAGATGGTCGTCAGTCCTGAAATCGTGACGCTTTGGAAATCGAAAGCTTTGATGCTTTTCGTGTAAATCAGTCCCAGACCTCCAACCTGTCCTCATCTGTCAGTGTCTTCAGCCCTCAGCAGCGTTTCCAGACGCTCCTCGGGAGGCGAGGTTGAGGTTGAGGCTGGAGTTTGGACTCGTTGTCTGAACATATGAGGATGAGGCTTTACTTTCCAGCTCAGCCAGAAATAGGGCATTCAGAGTCGAGCTACGAGCAGACGTCGCTCTGTGCTCCCGGCCGACAGCACATCACGCTTGAGTTTAGGATCGGGATGAACTGAAGTTTAAAAAACATTGATTGGCTGCAGATTAGTAGAAATGTCTGGAAAATGTGCTGAACACTTTAAACATGTTTCCGTCATAGTTTCCATCAAACTCTAGAAAGATTTGAATCAATTTGTTAAACCATAATGTTTTTTTTTAGCACAAACAAGCTTTACACTGCACCAGGTCCTTGAGAATCAATATGTCGGTTCTGAAACTGGGAAATTGGATTTAAAGTGTTCAGTAGAACCACATGTTGAAAAGACTCAAATTAGACAAAATAATCCCTCTTAATCTTTTCAAATCTCTTCCAAATGACCCAGAGCAGAGTGAATATGTGTTTGAATCAAACTTAGCAAACATGTTTATACATATTAACTTTGCTTTTATAGACTTAATGTGTCCTAGACTACTTGTAAACCTTCTCTGTTTGCTGGTTGTTTAGTTTGTTAACAGGATTAAACAAAATCTACGGAACTGATTTCCACTAAACTTGGTGGAAGGATGTGGGTCAGGAAACACTTTGATGTGGATTTGGATCAGGGCGTCGAATTGATTTTCAGTTCCTGTAACATTTGTTTGGACGTTTTTCAATATTTTTTGATTTCTCTGAGAATAATTCATGAGTCTTGATAAAAAAAGAAATCGGGCACATTTAAACGACTGATTCTTACGAGTGTGTGTGATTTTCTAGATGTTAATGATATTTCATATTGTTTATCGTTCATCTCCTGATCTCTTATATTTTGGTATGACATTGGCAGACTGTTGTTTTTTTGATTGTCTTTTAAAGAGGAGAACTTGCTCGCTACTTTAAATAAAGGTTTGACTGAAAGTTTCCTGCTATAGCCTTTGAGCCACACAGGAAATTAGAACCCTCGACTCCGCTGCCTTGCTTAGAGAATTCGTCTTCTGATGTGGCAGAGCACCAACTACACTGCCAGAGAGAGTTTTTTACTTTCCTGCCATCTGGGCCACCCGTAAGAAAACAGCCGTCACCCTCTGAGATTCAAGGTGCTTCAAATGTCTGACGATAGATGGAACATGTCAAGTGGCCAAGTTTACACAAAGTTATTGGCCGAGACTCTTTCCACTGCGACTGTTCCAACGAGACCCAGACTCAGACTCCTCCTCCAGCTCGGAGTCAGAGAACAAGAGCCTCGAGCTTTAGATGTAATTTAAACCACAGAGGAGTCCGTCTCTCTTCTGGCTCTTTAGATCAATTTTTACTAATCGGATCGTTTCATCTCCACTCACGAAATATTAACTCGATTGTAAATATTTCCACATTTAAATGGAGAAACATGAGTCACAAGGTCAGCTCATTCCTGTCCCTTGCTTTTGACGTCATTTGGCGTCCGAGTCTTTGCAGAAGTGATCGAAGTTACACGCTCTCGACCAATCCCAAGTCATTCAAACCGAACTGATCAGAAACACTTGAACAAACATCAGTGAGAGAAGAACGAGCTGAGACGACAGAATCATCTTTGACAAACATCCATTCTTAGGTTGATCCATGTCCCAGCTGCTAACATGGAGGAGTTTAATGACCTACATTGCTGTCATGTGGTCCAGGTTTATTTAAAGTTTATATATTTGGTCAGATTGACAGATGGAGAGAAAGAGAGAGAGAACAGTTCACATCAGCTCCATTCATGGAACATTTTTTCAGAGCTACATCTGCAGAGTGGCAGATATTCCATTCTCCATCTGACCACTGTCTGTGGTCGTTTCCGAGAGCGTCCACGCTCGTCTTCCTTGAAGCAGATAAAAAATGGCAGCAGCTGTGGAGAGCTGCTAATGGAGGCTGCGGCAGCGTCCGAGTGACGACGACCGAGCGGCACATGGGAAAATATCAGACGAGAATAATAGTGACATCAATCTGTTGGAATCATTAAAGCTGTTTTCAGACCTGCACTTTAGTCCAGACATTTTCCTGAAATGTTCTGCATGTGAGGACAAAGACGTCTGAGTCAGTTGCTCCAGATATTTTTTGGAACTTTTCCAGCTGCTCCTTCGTAAAACAGCGTTAACGGGCACATCCACAGCTCACCACCAAAACATCTGGAGCTTCCTCGTCTGTCCTAGTGGACGTCTTCGTCTTCTACGTGCACGGCTCCTCTTCTTCATCCTGAGACATTTGTGTTCTTCCAGTTTCACGCCCGTCACGTGTTAGAGACACGCCCACTCGCTCACTGAGAAGATTCCAGATGTTTTACTAGAGGCTGCAGGAGAAGATCCAGAACATAGACATTTGTCTTCACATACAGAACTGGTTAGGAACATGTGAGGAACACGTCAGGAACATGTATTGAGTTCTGTTCAGTTCTGATTTTATTTATCAGATGGAACCTTTCAGATTAAAAGCCTTGAGTCATTTTTGCAGCCTGTGCAGATTTCTGTGGATCTGATATCTTTGTCATATGTGAAGTCTGTATCTCATTAATGGTTTTTTCCGCAGCTCATCTTTCTGTCTCACCACATTTTGCTCATTTAAAAAGATGATAATTTAAAAGAGGACATTTCTGGAGAGATAAATCTGCTCTCGTCACATTCAGGCTTATTTCATTTGAATGATTTAGTTTTTTTTTACTTTCAGTGCAGAAACACTCGGTCTGGCCCTCGTCAGTGAACACACTTCAGATTTTTTTTATGAAATATCCTGATCCTTGTTTCCTTGAATCCGAACCAGAAACAATTTTTCCGACCATAAACATTTCGGGAGCTGTTCCTCCAAAGATCTGCATCTACTGGCTACATGATAAAAATGATTTATTTCATGCTGCCTCTGTTGATTGTGGAGCTGGACGTGATTGAGTGGGATAATTATCACGTTGTGGAAACTTGGCTCCTCGTTCTCTGCAGCACCTCCTCTCTTCATGTTGTCACATTTTCACTGAAGAGGGATCACGATTCCTCCTCTTCCATCGTTCACAGTCTCAATCATCTGCTGTGTTAGTGTAGGAACGTGACCACGTCTTCCTTTTCACCAGTCTGAAATAAAATAATGTTGCATGCGTCTTTGTTTAACTCCTTCCTGTCCTTCTCGTTTTCAGACGTGGGGCCTCCTAAAAACCTGGTCACCAGCGACGTGACCGACACCAGCTTCGTGGCGTCCTGGACGGCAGCGCCTGGGAACGTGCCGATGTACCGCGTGAACTGGAAGTCGCTGTTTTCCAGGGAAGCCGGAGAGAAAACTGTCCCGGGACACGTGACCAGCACCGAGCTGGACGGTCTGACTCCGGAGACACTGTACCAGGTGTCAGTGGTCGCAGCCTATGGTCACAAGGACAGCGACCCGCTCAACGGACAGGAAACCACTGATGGTAAGAAACACAGTGTCCCCCTGACGCCCACTGTCCACCATCAGAAGTGGTCTCCTGTTTATTCATTTCTGTTCACACGATATACTGCACAGGTAGGAAGCATCGTCTCCACTGAACCACACGACGTTACTCTTCTTTGAGCAGCGACGACTTTTTACCTTCTCACCTTCTCGTCACCTCTGCAGCTCGGTCAGGGTCAGAGGAACATTTTGGAAGCTTTCGCTTTATCTTCAGCTTTAGACATTTGGCAGAAAACAAAATGTTTTTGTGATTTTGAGGAAAATTGCCACATGAATATAATCAAAAGTTCATTCAAAACATGTTTGAGAGCGTGAAGAATCGAACAGTTTCTCCAAATTATACTTTTCTGCTTTTCTCTGCCATGGAAATGATCCAAATTTAACTTTTCATTCTACATCATTCTCAAACTGATTGGAAGCGTGTTTGTCGGGTGAAGCATCACTGCGACGACAGTTTTTTGCGTTTTTTGCAGAAGTAACATAAGAAACAGCTGAGGGGAATATGACATGTTACGACGTGTGTGTCCTGAGAATGATGAAAAGCACGTTGACATTCTTCACAAGAGATGAGACACGCTCTAAATATGTCAACACATTCCTCTAAGTTTCTCCACATGGGAAATCAAACTCACAAACAGGCCACACAAAACAAATCACTGTCAGAGTACAGACTGTCCCTCGATGCAACACGACCGTCTCCTCAGTTCAGAAAACTTGGACGTTTCTTTCAACCGATAAAAATCCTCCAGAGTGAAATCAAGCACTTTGAGAAACTCTCCTCTGGATCATTAAATAAACATATTATTCCCGTTGCAAAGTTTTTTCACTTGCAGCATCATCGGAATAAGTTGATTTCATTTTATTGGCGTTTTCGGAGGGTAAAAGGAAAATGTGGTGAAAGTTTCCTCCGCGGCCAATTGATGATTTCTGGTTCAAAGCCTAATTCATAACCAGTTAGTTTTGGCAGGAAGCTGACGGTTCTCCTAACGTGATTATGATTAAATATGACGAGTGCTCGCAGGACTGGGCTCGTCAATGGACATCATGGTTTAAATTTAAAAATAAGTCAATGATGAATGAATGAAGCAACTGTGCAACTTCTCGACCCAAGAGATGGAATATTTTAAACTCAGATATTTCAGTTTGGTGCCACTCAGCTCTCAAGATACTTCAAACTAAAATCCATCATTCTGAGAACCAGTCAAACGTCTGACACCCGAAGTTTAACTTATGATCTGGACCCTGTCTCACTCTTTGTTTTCAGCCTCTGCTGCTGGTAAAACTCTGACCGTGTCGGACGAGACCGAGCGATCCATGAAAGTCGCGTGGACGCCTGCGCCGGGCAAGGTGGTCAACTACCGTCTGAAGTACGTCCCAAGAGATGGGGGCAAGGAAGTGGCGATGAAAATCCCTGGGTCGGCCACTTCCACCGTCATGAGGCGCCTGCAGCCGAAGACCACGTACGACATCACCGTTCACCCCATCTACAAACGCGGGGAAGGAAAAGCAAGGCAAGGAGTAGGAACGACACGTACGTTGGTCCATAATTCAACCCTCTGAGAGAGTCCACACTTCTTAACCAAGACGTTCAAACCTCAGCTCGCTCTCAAACTTTATCTTTGGTGAAATGAAACAAAGAATCTGCTGCTTTTTTACGGTTATTATTTGTTAAGTACAAACGATCGAGTGCATTTCTCGAAGGAGCTAATCTTTAACTCCGCTGACATCCAGTGTCTCGTCTGTCTGAGGTCACATGACTCTGGTTTCGGACCAGGATGTGGTCTGGATGTTCCCTCTAATGTCAAAGAGAGAAATTGAAACCACTTCTCTCACAGGAAGCATTAACACAATCGATGCTGACCTGGAAACCAAAGGGACGATGTCCTTCAAGTTGCAGATTTGTTTCATTGTTCCACCGAGATTCTGATTTTAGGAGCAAGTTGTTAAGATGAATATTTCTACACTACAGGTGCTGGCAGGCAGCGTCTTTTCACCACGACACTAAAATCACAGTCAAACACTCGCTCGATCACACGCCAGCGTTACTAACACACCGCATGACACTGGGCTTCTCTAACAAACGACACCGGGTCCAAGGAATTGTTTTATGGACTAATGAGAAACTGGCTTGAATGTGGTGAGGCTGATCTTTCAAACCTTTGCCAACAGTTTGAAGGTTTGTTGATTTTTTTTACCTTTTGTGCAAGTTGGTCCTGAAGTCCTGCCCCGGGGTTCTTCTATTTCAGTGTCGCCCTACAAGAGTCCGCAGAACCTCCAGACCTCAGAACCCACCAAGAACAGTTTCAGAGTCTCCTGGGATCCAGCTCCCGGAGACGTTCAGGGCTACAAGGTGACCTTTCACCCCAGTGGGGACGACATTGACCTGGGGGAGCTGCTCGTCGGCCCCTATGACAACACCGTGGTTCTAGAGGAGCTCAGGTAAGTTTTCCTTTGATTGAGATATTCAGAGGAATTTAAAGGTGTGATTGTAGAACTCGTCAGAAAAGGGAACAAGTACAAATTTAAATCTTTTACACCACGTTCTTATTCTCACTATGAAAATCTCTGAACTTACCCAAACTAATTCAGGTGTTGTTTCCTTGAGCCTAAAATAATTTAACGAAAACAAACACCCATGATTGAATTCATTTTCACTTGAGACTAAAAGAAGAAATTTATTTCCCCACAGAGAAACTTTGGCATTTTCACTTAAAAAACTCAAAAATGAGTAATAATTGAGGATTTATTTTGATTTTATGGACTTTTAACAAACTGTGGATTTAAAGTCAATCAACTGTTATGAGACATGAAGTTAAAGACCAGCACTTATGTCTTCATCCAACATCTTGTTTTATCATCAAAGTCTTGTTGTGAAAGACAGAAACAGTTTGAGGTGATTTTGTTTTTCCCTCAGGGCAGGAACAAAATACTCTGTTACCGTGTCCGGGATGTTTAAGGGAGGCGAGAGTTCGCCTCTGGCCGGAGAAGAGAATACGACCCTCTCTGACGCTCCTGAGCCTCCTCTTCTCGACCCCTCTGGTAAAAGCTGATAGCTCGACCACACTGCACCTCACACCCTGTTGTCAGCAGCTCTACGGAGAGCAGGCCTGCAGACCAGATGCTCTCTGAGCCAAGTCGCTTCAGAGCAGTGATCAGAATAGAGCCAGAGGGCTGAAGTATTTGTTGTCGAAGGGAATCAATGTCACCGGCGCGTTGGGATTGCAGAGTGAAGTTTGACGCAGGTGATTTTAATCAGTGCAAATGATTTCGATCTGCCTGGCTCATGTTGCCTCTCCTCCCTCGGTGTGATCTCTCACATGTTATTTGACAGACACGCGCTGAGGCGTTGACACTAACATTTATAAATTGCCTGATTGGACGTTGTCCTCGACCACCTCACACGTTGCATCTTTGCCAGAGTTTGACCTTCAACAGCGCTGCCACAAACATCACATCGGTATTTTTTGGCAAATTGTTTTTTCTCATGGAAAATAAGTTTTTCCCCATTTTTTTAGTTTTCTGATGTGTCTCGGCTTCCAATCATTTTTTTATGGTCTTGGATTTTGGCCGTCGCATGAATATATGAAGGTTCCAGAGGAAGTGCTGACCCTGGGCACAGATTCCTGCTGTAACGTGGAGCAGGTCGTTAAAAGTTTTATTTTGTATTTAAACTTTCATCTTTTAGCAACGTGTTAAAAACTCGACACTGACGTCAAACAGTAAGTCTGACGTGAGGCTTGTCGACCATCACCTCTACGTTTTGAGGACAAATCACAGGATGTGTCGAGGTTCCAGTAAAAGTCAACATGAGCAGAGATAAGACCATGACAAACATTAGACTCATGCAACAGCGAGTTCCAGCTAATTTAACAGGGAGGCGCCTTTTTCTGAAACGTTACAATCAATTTTTATGGTCTGCAGTTTTTCTCTTTTATCAAACTTTTTCTTTTTCCCCAAAAAACTTTCGACTGCAACAAACTGTTCACGTCGATAGAAAACGACAACATGACTTAAAAAGTCTGGTCGTCAAGAATGAACTTTGTCCCTCCGCTTTCCGACATTTTATTTAAACTTAAGATTACAAACTAAAAATGTCACACACACAAATCTGACGCTCGTAAGGTCACACCTGCAGCCTCACTTCACGGTTCCTCGTGTTGCTCATGAGCGAGTTGTTTAGCGGCGGCGGTGAAACTCAAACATTCTCAGTTCCTCTTAGCGCGAAGCATCTGTTTCTGCAGCCTGCTGACAAAGAGCTGAAGATTTAGAACGATTGTCTCCTAACATGTTTTCACTTGCACACGCAGGGGCCCAGTTTTTAATCGCTCAGCGTCCGCAGAGCGTGTCATCCTCGACACGTGGACGAGCGGCCATTTTTTTACCCCTACAGGTGCCGCGGGCAGGAATGTGCGGTAACTTTGTGGAGCAGGAGCCGGCCTCGTATATCACAGTGTCAGAGAGGCCGACCCCTGGAGTCGGAGGGGACGAGCCCGGTGTCGGCCAGGAAACACCACAGGGCTGATTCAGCGCTGGATATAAAACAAAACGACTCTGGAAGAGAGAGAGAGA